ATTATTTTTACAATTTTTCCAGGCGAATCATGTAATCTGGGTTCGACCACCATGATTTCAAACTCCTCACAGGAATCAAAACTGTGAATTAAGTTGCACTCTTCCTCTGAGCTAGAGTTTTCTTCCGCAATCTCGTTCACTTCATTCGATCGACACGTTTTTGCAAAATGGTTTTGCTTATTACAGCTTTTACACGTTTTTCCCATAGCTGGACAACTTTCAGATGTCCTTCTCCAAATGTTTTGCCACATCTGGTACGTTTTTTTCAGTTCTAGTTTTTGTGTCTTTGTTATTGTTCCATTTCTTTTTGAATTGATCTCGATTCGATCTCCTATAATTCTGATTTTTTTTTCCAACTGCCATAATTGGCTGTTGTTTTATTTTAATCTGAGGCCCAGAGGATTGTCCTCATTTTGAGCTTCCTACTACAGATTTCTGAAACGCTTGTGTCGTTTGCTTGCTTTGTTCAAATTTAATAGCTCGTTTGAGTACTTCATCTGGTGCGAAAGTTTCAAATGTCAATGTATCTTGAAGTGCAGTATTCTTCATTCGTGATATGAATAGATCTCGCACCAATTCTTTCTCCAATCCACCCAATTCGGCCGTAGCTGCTTGTGCAGTTAAAGCCGCATGAAAAGACTCCAATGTCTCTCTGGATTCTTGTGTCCTGGTGAATAATCTGTATCTCTCGTACCTAATGTTTTTCGTCTATTCAAATGATACTTTAGCCAATCTCACCATATCTCTGAACTCAAATTTTGATATTTCAATATGTGCATTTTTCTGTACGAATTTTTTCTTTCCTTCTGTGCCTAACGCCAGAATTAAACGACACGTAAGTCGTTTTTGAACTTCGTTGTAAAACAGATTATGTCCTACCTTGAGTCCTCGTTCCCTTCTCTCTTCGTTTTCGAGTATTACTCTGTCACTTCTTAGTCTATCTCTCGCCTCCCGATCCGTTACTGCCTGGGCAGTTTCATTTTCTCCTGGAGTTTCAGGGCGGGGCATTGGCTCATCAATTACTTCTTTCGGTTCTTCTAGTAATATCTCAGGATTCACACTTTCTTTGACCGTCACTGCTAGCATAAATTGATCCAACCAAATTTTGAAATTCCACGGTTGATCCGAGCTAGCTGAGGTCCAGAACACTGGGCTACCCATGTCCGTTCGGTTATCCTGTGCCATGAATCCTGCTGGCTGCGCCATGTGGTAAGGTGATGTAATGCTATAAGCTCAATTGAAAATGATATAGTTTCAAGAGTTTAATTCAAACCGAAACTTTGTTTTCTTTCATGATCTACGGTTCCGTGGACCAGCTCGATAAACGTATCTTGGTACGCAGAGCTCAACAACTAACTAAAGTCTAAACAGCGATCAACACTGCGTGACCTTGACATAACTTAATAACAATATATATAATTACAGATACCGATATGAGTTAGTGTGCAGCGAGGTTAACATGGTTACTGCACATGCAGTATGTGCTGTACCACATCAATCAAAAAAAAGTTTCTCAAGAATAATTGCGACAATTACTAATTTAACGGTGCCAATTGCGTTTGGTGACGTGTTTTTCACCAAAATAAACTTCAGCACAGAGAAACGAGTGAAAATATTGGATAATGTTTTTTGACATGTTTGTTTTGTTTGTGTTGTATCGCTGTTGGTGCTAACCTCCGCTTCGGCTCCGTGTTAAAGTTGGCGTTCTGTTAGGTCTTTGTTGTTCGATTTGGGGAAGGAACCCGTTCTTCTTAGTGACATTTTGTATAATTCACGAATATTCCTAATTGACTTCACTGTTTTTCACATCTATCACCATTTGATTTCGATTTGAAGTTCCTTACCTGGTGCATAACATCGACCTTCAAAAAACGTGTATCTGAGTTGAAATGGTTGAATAGCTCTCCAATAAGAATGTATGCATGGCTGGAAATGTGGCGTCATTTCTAAGTTTCACTCGTGGATTTAATTCAGAAATTCAGCTTTAAAAACACCTAATGATCAGTTTTTTCAAATTGATTTTTGAAATCGAAAGAGCTCTAAGCTGACGTAGATTCTTGCATGAAAGTTGAAAAGAAATGGAGTAAGAAATAGTAAGAAAAATGTTTGGTAGTGTTTTCTACTTTCCTTTGATCATTTACGTTTGTTACCTTAGCTGTATGTTGGCTATATTGATTGTTAGTTGAATGATTCTGTCAGAATTAGTTCTTCGAGGGATATACATATAGCTGATTACACTATAGGAGGGTGTGTGGTCAATTTACACAGCCTTAAATACGGTGTCCAATACCGGAAAGTCCAATCAGATCTTTTTGTATTTTCTTTGTGCTTTTCTTCTCTTAAAGCTTCTGATTAATACGTCGTTGTTCCCTTGTTCATGTGGGGCTGAGATTGACTTCTTATCATGTTGGTTTTGATTTTGCTTTCGTTTTTTTTCATCGAAATTTTGTTTCCACTTAAAGTTGAATGGTTTGATTGATTTATGAAAGATAACATTGTTTCTGTTTCAAAGTGTTCTGAATTCTTATTCCGATGAAAGCGTGGTTCTTACGATTTAACTCAGAATGTTTTGAAACTCGGTTTCGAAAGCTTGAAAACAAGGCCATTTTTGCTGTTTTTAAAACAGGTGTATAATCTCGTAAGAAGTGAGCGTGAGCTGCTACACAATTGTATATTTTGGCTGGCAGATAAAAGATTTGCAGATAATGTTTTGCATACAATGTTTGAGGCTCGACAGTTGACCAACTCTGAATAGAGGAAAGCATTGAAGTGGGTTTTAGAACGTTGCCCCGAAGTCCGAGATGAATATATGTCACATATATCGGCGAATAAAATTTTCCTGTTAAAAATTTTTGAATAATTTAAAACGTATGAAATACTTGTTAACCTTTTTAAACCAGCCCTGGATGAAAGGAAGAATGAAGCGAAGTTTATTTGAAGCTTGAGTGGCTAATCGCGTTGTTGGCTTTAACTCTTTTGTCTGAAGAAAGGACAACTTATGTATTAATTTGTGAGGATAGGGTGAAAATGTGAGAGAAAGCGCACCAGAAGATCTCGCTCAATGGATTTGAATGTAATTGAGAGAATAAGTAGTCTTATTGTTCCGACTTTCGATACGAAAGTAACGGAATATTTGTGCTCGGGGTTGGTTTTTTTTTCTTCAAGACAAATTTCGACTTTTTAACTAGCCATTTTTGACGGAACTTTTTTTTATCATTCAAAAGGTATTGTTGTCCTGAGCTTAAATAAGAAAATATATTTCACCTGCGATCATTTTTCGTAAAGTTATGGGGGTTTAAAGATTGCCATTTTGCCCAATTTGGGACAATTAACGCGCAATATAATTCGCGCTATTAACGCGTAAGCGGAGATTTAATCCGTCTTAGAAATCGTTCCAAATTGGTCGAAAGAAGCTGATTTGCCATAATTGATTTGGTACAAGGAGCGAAATCTATCCTTTTGTATTTTATATGGCGTGTGGGGGGATGATTTTCAAAAAAAAAATTCAAATTTCAGAAAAAAAATTTTCATTTTTTTTTATTAAACCTATTTTTTTGTATGTTATTACTGCTCTATAAACCTTAAAAGCCAGTCGGAACATTCAGGGCTTTGCCCTGATAGGAGCAGTCTTGTTTAGTTTAGCTTCTCTTACTAGTTGTAGCATGCTGCTCATCAATCAAATATATCTCTCTCCCCCTTCTACGCATCCAATCATTCCAAACATATTACTGTTTTGTTTCTCTTTCTTTTTAAGAGTCGATGAACGTAGTTCAGACTCTTATATACGTCACGATGATTTTCTGTTTTTTAAACGTCTAAAAGTCTAAAAAAATTGCTGTAGCTCACTCAAATTTACTTTTTCGCGGTTTGATTTCTTCGGTTCAGCTCGAAGCTTTGTTTAAAGGAAGGTAAACTTCACTGTCGAACAGCGAAATTGTTATGGTCACGAAAAACGTGATCGACTTCTTGTTTCGAAAGTGCACATTAATTGACGGATTTGCCAGCAAGTTAAAAATTTTACCTATTGATCCAGTTTTCCTAATCATTCTTTGCCCAGTGTCAATCATAAATTGTTCTAGAAGTTTAGAGAGCTTTAAGGTCATCCATTTTGGAAATTCAAAAATTTTTCGAAAATCAAGTCAGTATTTTTTTTTCATTTTACTTGCGGCGTTCATCGGCTCTTTTCCAACTGTCTGTTGGCTGTTTTAATTTTCCAAATGACCTGTCATTCTTGTGACAACATTATGCTCCACATTATTGCTGCATTGGATTGAAGACATCGCATTTCATTTAACTGTTCCATGCAATGTCATCAACTCATGTTTGCTATCCGTGCATGATACTGGTTGTCACTCGGTGCTTATGCTGTCCTGATATGCGCCGTTAGCCAGATGGCTTCATCGGATGGCAGAGGGGGCGTGTTGTCACACTTACTGACACCAATCCTCTCATAACCCACATGAGATTATTAGTTGAACATGTTTGTTTTCATTTATTGCTTCAGCTAAGTGAAGGAAAGAAAGACAGAAAGAAAGAAAGTATCCAAGGGTGAACAATTTGAGATAATAGAATTTTCTTCTGTAAATTGGGGTTGCGTGGGCTGATGCAAAATACATTGCAGTTAGTGAGTGAGAGAAAAAGGCAGTGAAAGCGGCGAGGGTTCGAGTGGGGAATGGGTTGTAGCATGGGAAGAAAGAGAGGTGTTGTTTGATTTTGTGGGTTGTAAGAGGGGTCTGTGTGTTGGCAGGGCCTCACGTTCAAAAACTTGAATAACATTGCTGACGAGGACACCGAGGGTGCTCAGGGTCTCATCTCGCACGACGAGCTGGCCGATGAGTGTGAGGAGTCACACGTCATCTCCTCAGAAATGGGCGCCCCCCAGAGTAACGGGGCAGCTGCCCACAGACAACAGGCGGGAGCAGGGGGGCACCACGAGGAGGAAGAGGTGAGGCCTCTTTTGCTGTATTGACTAACTGTGCAGTTTTGTCGTTTGTTAATAGTCGAAGAGGACCAGAGACAAAGGCGACTACAGCCAGCTGCCGCAAGGAGAAGGAGAAGAAGAAGAGGCGGAGAGGGGGATGCAGGTGCAGTTTGCCAGCCCCTCAAAGAAGAAGAAGAAGAAGAAGAATGAGAAGAAAAGAGGAGACGACCAGAGGGGTGCTTACACCTCAATGGCAGTGCACAGTAGTGACAGTGAGGGCCAAGGAGGGGGAGGGAGAGTGGGAAGGGGAGGTGCAGGTGCAGAGTATGAGTCGGACGATGAGCAGTTGATTGTGCCCCCTGTGGTTATGCAGACTACCAAAGTGGGGCAAGGAAGTCACGGGGACAGTGAAGCAGAAGAGGTTTCTCATATTCTCCCCCACACAAATGAGCACAAACAGTTCACTCCAAGAGCAATGTTTATTGTGCTGAACAGCAATGGCGTGTGTTTGGATGTAATAAGTCTGTTTAGTGTTCATAGGTGAGGGCAGTGTGTGTCTGTGTGTTTAGTTTGAGTTTGGCCAGATCATGATCCTGCAAGCGATCCACACAATCGAGTTCTGTCTCGGCTGCATCTCCCACACCGCCTCTTACCTCAGACTGTGGGCTCTCTCCCTGGCACACGCGGAGTTGTCGGAGGTGCTGTGGAGCATGGTTATGGCGGTGGGACTCAGTTCCGGTTATGGTATGTTGGGCTGTGTGATGGTGGTGCCAGTGTTTGCCGCCTGGGCAGTGCTGACCATAGCCATCCTCCTACTCATGGAAGGACTGTCTGCATTCCTACACGCACTCCGTCTCCACTGGTATGTCAATTAATCAGACTAGCAACATGCACACCCTTATATTTCATTACACTCAACTAGTAGGTCATATAATCTCTCATTATACGTACTTGCAATTTCTACATCCAAGATGTAACTCCTTTTAACTAGTAATATAGTCATTACTTTTTCTCTGGTGGTGTCCGCAGTATCCGAGCAATATGATATGATATGATATGATATGCCATGGCAGTAAATAAGGTTTGTGTGTGTGTGCTGCGTGTAGGGTGGAGTTCCAGTCCAAGTTCTACCACGGGGACGGTCATCTGTTCATGCCCTTCACATTCAAACACATTGTTGACAACCCACTCGAGGAGTGAGAGAGGCCCGCATTCCTACAATACAAATACACAATTGAGAGAAAGAACCACTCAGCAAACGAACTATACACATTAGCTATACACTCGGCACACAAGTAACTTGGAGTAGAGCGGCTCCATCCACCCACAGCACATTCAACTGACCACAATCGACCTCTTAATCAGAAGAGAAGAGAAGAGAAGAGAAGAGAAGAGAAGAGAAGAGAAGAGAAGATACACAAACCAAATAAACATCACCACTGACTAACGAGACGAACTTGCTCACTATCACCTTACTGGGGCTCCCAAATGTGACTCATACATAGTCTTTATGATAAATGTGTACCTGCCTATATTTCACGTGGCATGCCATCCATTTTTACACTCAATATACTATTGGCGCAAGATTCTTTTGGCTATACTTATAGAATCTGTTTCTCATGCAAATCGATCATTTCAAATTATTCCCACTCATCGACTCTTTCTTTAATAATCTTGCATGAAGTTTTTGCGTTAATTCTAGAGCTCGTTAAGTGCATTCAGCATTTTATGAAAGCCTAGAGTTTTGCACTTGTTAATTACCACTGTGACATTAGATTTTCTAATTGCAGATGCTCTTTATCTCTCTAACTAATTATCGCTGTAACTCAGTTTTATCCGAATCATGCGTGTTGTATTCATTTACTTCAATTGCTGCAATCACGCAATGTAATCCTAACTTTTCAAAACGCAACCTTGAAACTAAATATTTATTCTATATACTGGGCTACACTGTCTTTGCTAGAGAATCTAATTTAGGGGAATTGAATTTTTATCTATAGCAAAAATAATGATATGAATGTAAATTATTCAATTGAAATATAGCACAGTTTTCTTTTCACAAAATGTAGTCTTTCCACAAACTGATGGAGTGTTTCACAGACTATTTGTGTGTATTGAGAAGCGTTTTCCAAAAGTTTTTGTTAAGCAAAAATTGATTCCGTGCTGAAAAGGAATAGTTTGAGAGATGAAGGCATCGAGTTCTGTTTGATACTCAATTTTTTTCTGGCAGTTTGACCATTAAGTTTAACTGAGCGAATCGACTTTTTGTCCTGTTCCTTTTTTAGCATGAATTCTTGAAAATTGTTCCTAATCAGTTTTGATTTTTTGCTGATGGACTTGTTGTTCCGACTTTCGATACGAAAGTAACGGAATATTTGTGCTCGGGGTGGTAACGGTTTTTTTCCTCAGACAAATTTCGACTTTTTAACTAGCCAATTTTGTCGAAATCGCTCATTTCAAATTATTCCCACTCATTGACTCTTTCTTTAATAATCTTGCATGAAATTTTTGCGTTAATTCTAGAGCTCGTTAAGTGCATTCAGCATTTTATGAAAGCCTAGAGTTTTGCACTTGTTAATTACCACTGTGACATTAGATTTTCTAATTGCAGATGCTCTTTATCTCTCTAACTAATTATCGCTGTAATTCAATTTTATCCGAATCATGCGTGTTGTATTCATTTACTTCAACTGCTGCAATCACGCAATGTAATCCAAACTTTTCAAAAGCAACCTTGAAACTAAATATTTATTCTATATACTGGGCTACACTGTCTTTGCTAGAGAATCTAATTTAGGGGAATTGAATTTTTATCTATAGCAAAAATAATGATATGAATGTAAATTATTCAATTGAAATATAGCACAGTTTTCTTTTCACAAAATGTAGTCTTTCCACAAACTGATGGAGTGTTTCACAGACTATTTGTGTGTATTGAGAAGCGTTTTCCAAAAGTTTTTGTTAAGCAAAAATTGATTCCGTGCTGAAAAGGAATAGTTTGAGAGATGAAGGCATCGAGTTCTGTTTGATACTCAATTTTTTTCTGGCAGTTTGACCATTAAGTTTAACTGAGCGAATCGACTTTTTGTCCTGTTCCTTTTTTAGCATGAATTCTTGAAAATTGTTCCTAATCAGTTTTGATTTTTTGCTGATGGACTTGTTGTTCCGACTTTCGATACGAAAGTAACGGAATATTTGTGCTCGGGGTGGTAACGGTTTTTTTCCTCAGACAAATTTCGACTTTTTAACTAGCCAATTTTGTCGAAATCGCTCATTTCAAATTATTCCCACTCATTGACTCTTTCTTTAATAATCTTGCATGAAATTTTTGCGTTAATTCTAGAGCTCGTTAAGTGCATTCAGCATTTTATGAAAGCCTAGAGTTTTGCACTTGTTAATTACCACTGTGACATTAGATTTTCTAATTGCAGATGCTCTTTATCTCTCTAACTAATTATCGCTGTAACTCAATTTTATCCGAATCATGCGTGTTGTATTCATTTACTTCAACTGCTGCAATCACGCAATGTAATCCAAACTTTTCAAAAGCAACCTTGAAACTAAATATTTATTCTATATACTGGGCTACACTGTCTTTGCTAGAGAATCTAATTTAGGGGAATTGAATTTTTATCTATAGCAAAAATAATGATATGAATGTAAATTATTCAATTGAAATATAGCACAGTTTTCTTTTCACAAAATGGAGTCTTTCCACAAACTGATGGAGTGTTTCACAGACTATTTGTGTGTATTGAGAAGCGTTTTCCAAAAGTTTTTGTTCAGCAAAAAATGATTCCGTGCTGAAAAGGAATAGTTTGAGAGGTGAAGGCATCGAGTTCTGTTTGATACTCAATTTTTTTCTGGCAGTTTGACCAGTAAGTTTAACTGAGCGAATCGACTTTTTGTCCTGTTCCTTTTTTAGCATGAATTCTTGAAAATTGTTTCTAATCAGTTTTGATTTTTTGCTGATGGACTTGTTGTTCCGACTTTCGATACGAAAGTAACGGAATATTTGTGCTCGGGGTGGTAACGGTTTTTTTTCTTCAGACAAATTTCGACTTTTTAACTAGCCAATTTTGACGGAATTTTTTATATCATTCAAAAGGTATTGTTGTCCTGAGCTTAAATTTGAAAAAATATTTCACCTGTGATTATTTTTCGTAAAGTTATGAGGGTTTAAAGATTGCCATTTTGACCAATTTGGGACAATTAACGCGCGATATAAATCGCGCTTTTAACGCGTAAGCGGAGATTTAATCCGTCTTATAAATCGTTCTAAATTGGTTGAATGAAGCTTATTTGCCATAATTGATTTTTTACAAGGAACGGAATCTCTCTTTTTGTACTTTATATGGTGTGTGGGGGATGATTTTCATAAAAAGTTTCAAATTTTAGAAAAAAAAAATTTCGTTTTATTTTATTTCATTTAATTTTTTAAATGTTATTACTACTACTCCATAAACCTTAAAGGCAGTCGGAACATTCCACAGTCAAACAGTCTTGTTGTTCCGACTTTCGATACGAACGTAACGGAATATTTGTGCTCGGGGTGGGTTTTTTTTTCTTCAGACAAATTTCGACTTTTTAACTAGCCATTTTTGTCGGAATTTTCTTTTATCATTCGAAAGCTATTGTTGTCCTGAGCTTAAATTCGAAAAGATATTTCACCTGTGATCATTTGTCGTAAAGTTATGAGGGTTTAAAGATTGCCATTTTGACCAATTTGGGACAATTAACGCGCGATATGTTTCGCGCTATGAACGCGTAAGCGGAGATTTTTTCCGTCTTAGAAATCGTTCCAAATTGGTTGAAAGAAGCTTGTTTCCCATAATTGATTTGTTACAATGAGCGAAATTTATTCTTTTTGTACTCTATATGGCGTGTGGGGGATGATTTTATAAAAAAAAATTCAAATTTTAGAATTTTTTTTTCATTTCATTTTGTTTTATTAACTTTTTCATGTTATTACTACTCCATAAACCTTAAAAGGCAGTCGGAACATTCAGGGCTTCGCCCTGATATGAGCAGTCTTGTTTCAATTTATTCTCGTTTCAAAATTCAATGTAAATTGTTTAGCGGAATAATAAGTTTATCTTTCGATCTCGTTTTTTTTTTAACATTTCGGTCAGTTCTATTAAGCTTCCGATTAGCAAGAGTGGAGAAATTGGAATAGACTTTTTTTCCTGGCAAGCAGTGTCTGACAAAATCACTGAATAATTTTGCCAACAACACATGTTTAAAGCAAGTTTATGATTAAAGCTACCAATGTAGTCTTATAGTGTTTTTTTTTTTAAATTTGATGGATGGTTTTAGAAAGAGTTAAAAAGTTTATAGGGCAATATATAGTTCTTTTAATGCTAAATTACCGCTAAGTCGTCGTAGCGTAATGTAAATAAGCTAGCAGTTGGTGCTTTTTTAATTCATAAAAAAGCTATTTGTTTTAGGGAACAGCACAACTCGATTTCAATGATTTTCCACCATAATTTATACTGATAACATTTTCCGACAATTTATACATAATCTATTATATATTTAAATGCGGGCTTCACTATCTCGCCATGTTTAAGCTTTTTCAACGTATTATTTTTGCATGTTTAAGCTATATCGTATATTGCAATGGTTAAGAATTTTTCGATTTTCCAATTTGATTTTAGTGGTTATTTTACCGAGTTTAAATTAAGTAGCTCAATATTGAATTAGGGTTTGCGAATTTGGCCTCCAATTTAAAATGTTCGAACCGTTTTAGTTAACGAGATAGGACGATTTTTGAGTTTTTCCAAATTTTTCAGTAGTTTCAAATAACTAAGTAATTTACAAAACTTGAAGTTCCCAACCCTGTAGTTGGGTACTGTCAGAGTACTATCAAGGATTGCGAGTCTTGCCTCCAAATATGACTGCTCAAATCCTTGTAGTTTTCGAGATATGACGTTTTTTTGTGATTTTTTCAAAAAGTTTCAGAAGCTTAAATATGATTATTTTTTAGAAATCTGAAATTTCCAACCCTGTAGCTGGGTACTGTCCGAGTACCATCAAGGATTGCGAGTCTTGCCTCCAAATATGACTGTTCAAATCCTTGTAGTATTCGAGATATGACGTTTTTTTGTGATTTTTTCAAAAATTTTCAGAAACTTAAATATTATTATTTTTTAGAAATCTGAAATTTCCAACCCTGTAGCTGGGTACTGTCCGAGTAATATCAAGGATTGCGAGTCTTGCCTCCAAATAAGACTGTTCAAATCCTTGTAGTATTCGAGATATGACGTTTTTTTGTGATTTTTTCAAAAATTTTCAGAAACTTAAATATTATTATTGTTTAAAATCTGAAATTCCCAACCCTGTAGTTGGGTACTGTCGGAGTACTATCAAGTATTGCAAATCTTGCCTCCAGGTATGACTGCTCAATTTTTTGTAGTTTTCGAGATATGACGTTTTTTGTGATTTTTTCAAAAATTTTCAGAAAACTTAAATTATGATTTTTTAAAATCTGAAAATCCTAAACCTGTAGTTAGGTCCTGTCAGAGTACTCTCAAAGACTGCGAATCTTACCTCCAAGTATGACTGCTCAATTCTTTGTAGTTTTCGAGATATGACGTTTTTTTGATTTTTTCAAAAATTTTCAGAAAACTTAAATTATGATTATTTTTTTTAAAATCTGAAATTCCCAATCCTGTACTCAGGTCTTGTCAGATTACTCTCAAGGATTGCGAATCTTACCTCCAAAAATGACTGCTCACCTCTTCGTAGTTCTCGAGATGTGACGTTTTTTGTCAAAATTTTCAGAAAGTTTAAATTTGTTACTTTTTTAAGTTTGAAATTCCCAACGCTATAGTTCGGTGTTGTCTGGGTACTCTCAAGCGTTGCAAATCTTGCCACATGCGACTGCTAAACGCGACTGCTGAAATGCTTTTAGTTTCCGAAATGTGACGTTTTTTGATTCTTTTAAAAATTTCCCTAAGAACTTACCTACAAAGAAATTCAAAAAATGTGAAACTGCCAACTCGATGAAAATACAACCTTATTGTCAGCGTACCCCTGGCATCTCAAATCTTGCCTCTTAATATGAATGCTCAAATCCTTTTAGTTTCCGAGATAAGACGTTTTTTTTTTCATTTTTTTTTTTCGGGAAACTTAGTTTTGAAAAAATTCACAAAATTCTGAGTTCCTAACCCTATAGTAGGGTGCTCTCAGTGGTTGCAAATCTGGCCTCCAAATTTCTGCAGAGGCTCATTAAGTTTTCGAGATGACTCTTTTAAAATGGGAATTAAAAATTTCGAAATTACCAACCCTCTTATTGGGTGCAGTCAGAGTACACTAAAAGTTTGCAGATGCTGTTTCCAATATATGCGGTTTTTCATAAGTTGTCGAAAAATTTCGAAGCACCGGAGGTGCGTTAAACGCTAGTTTGGCTTTAAGCTTTTTCAGGTAGTGGACTTTTTAGCCTGAAGGTAACGAATGAGCCTGGGACGGCAAAGGTATTGGGCTCGAAACGAGAAGTACTCTGTCTCTTTAACCGGTTCTTTGTTGTTTCTGTTTAAAACTGTTTTTTTTTAAACGGGAAGAATTTTGTCTCAAAGTTGGCCAAATATTTGTCTGCTTATTTTTGGGTTGGCTTAGTAGCCACATCTTGGAGTCGTTTTTTTTTCTTGGAGTCGTTTTTTTTTGCTGCGGACATTTTTTATTGTTGATTTACACCAGCAATTTATAATTTTTTTGCTTATACTTCGTATTTCATTTTTTCGCTTCGCTTAGAAACTCAATTCAGCTCAATTATATCACTTTTTAATTTTACAAATTCGCGTTCTTTTCATGGCCGTTTTATTGGAAACAAATTGATATAAAATAGAAAATTCCGGGCTTGAAGAGTTTATTCTCAAGTAATTTTGACTTTGTCACCGCTCGGTTAATTTTGTTCTGCTGCTAATTTTGCTTTCTATAGTTTGAGATTGTTTATTTATTTTTTCAACTGTTTTGATTTTAATAGTTTTTTTGTATCGCAAATGACATGAAGCTCAGTTTTGCCTGCATAGAGATTTTGCCGCCAGTATTATGCGGTTAAATTATGTCACTAGCTCTAAGAGGGACACGAAAAAGAAATCTTTGAATTCACACTCCATCAAAGTTTCAGTTATTTTTTTTGATTAAACAGTTTTCGTCAAAAAAAATTATTTGAAACTTTAAAAAATTAGTTTCCATAGTTGTTTATTTTGCAAAATTGCACAGATTATTATGAAAACTGACTGCGTTTAGTTTAAATTTTTGATTTTTTGCGGTTGTTTACTATTTCTTAACCAAAACTTCATTTAAAAAGTATTGTTTTTTGTTTCTTTTTTTTTTGTATTTTCTATCCTTTTCTTAAGGTTTCGTGAACTCTTGAGTTGCTATTTCAAAGTCGTTGTCCTCTTTTTTTTGAAAAATCATATTCAATTTGTTAAAGTTGTTTCTGGACATTGAAAACTAGTAATTTTAGCGAAAACAAAGTATGCTTTTTTTTGAATAGTTATTGCAGTTTTTAAGTGATTTTTTTACCCAGCAAACGTCATAAAGTTTGCACTTCTTGATTGTGACCTGTTTGTAGTATCATCAAGTCTTTATAGTATAATCTGGTCTTTCAATTTCAAATTTTTTACTTTTTTCGAAATTGTTTATTATAGTTGTTCTGATTGTTCTAATCAAATAGTCAAAATGA